TTTTTTTTTTTTTTTTTTAAGGAAAAAAACTACATAATTTCTACCAGGGCCATATAGCAGTGACATGTTTTAAACTGCAGACATTGTGGTTTTGGTTCAGAAACAAGTTGTATATTTTTCACCCCTGATTATGGGAAAAAAAAAAAATCAGTGCTGTGTCTTTGTGGGTTGCTCTGCTATGGAGAACAGCAGCGACTGTGACTGAGTTGGCCCATTCTGTTTAGAAATATATTTTAAATGTTTAGTAATTGACATGTGTGGTTGTCCTTGATTAAATACATAGATTTTACCTAATAAATATACTGGTTTTCTAAAACAAACAAACAATGGGCCAGCCAGATAACTCAGCAGATTAAAGCACCTGCTTAGGCAGACTAATGGACTGGGATTCAATCCCTGGCGTGCCATGTCAGCCCTAGCCCCACCCCAGCCTTGGCGCTGTCCCTCGGTCACACTGAGACTCAGAATGAGACTGGGCATGGTGGTGTGCGCCTACAATCCCAGCTATTGAGGGGGGCTGAAAAACAGGAAGGATCACTATGAGTCCAATCTGTGTGGTGAGACCCTGTACTGGATACATTTAAAAAAAACAATTATAGCTTGTGTCCAGTTTGTAAAGAACTGAAATGCAAAGCCAGGTGTGCTCATGCACACCTGTAATCCCAGTACTCGCGAGACTGAGGCAAGAAAATTGTTGCAAGTTCAAGATCAACCTGGGCTATAAAGTGAGCTGAAGGCCAGCCTGAACTGCATAGTGAGACTGTGTCTCAAAAAAAAACTGAAAAAAAGGGGCCGGGGAGATGGCTCAGTAGAATATGCGCTTCCCTGGCAGGCACAAGGGCCTGAGTTCAATCCCCAGTTCCGCAAAAAAAAAAAAAAAAAGGAAAAAAAAAAAAAACCAAAAGTCAAAAAAAAAAAAAAAAAAAAAAAAAAAACTGAAAAAAAGGGGCCGGGGAGATGGCTCAGTAGAATAAGCGCTTCCCTGGCAGGCACAAGGGCCTGAGTTCAATCCCCAGTTCCGCAAAAAAAAAAAAAAAAGGAACAGAAATACCTAACTTGGGAATAATGATAGTTCTGGTGGTGGCCTGAGAATTTCAACTCCAGTGGCAGGTCCAGGCTTATCCTTATAATTCAAGCCTGACTTTGTAAATTCAAGGCCTTAAAGAGAAAGGGATGGTGGCATGGTGACATAATCTATAATCCCTGCCACTCGGGAAGCTGAGAATGTGAGTGGGAGGCCAGGCTGAGTTACATAGAAAGTTCAAACCCAGCTGGTATTACATAGCAAAAACCTGTCTTAAAGCAAACATAGAAAAAAGGAAAAAAGGTAAAGGAAATAGGAAGAATGAAAATAGGCTTGGGGCTGTTTGTCTTTTTGAGACAGGTTTTCACTATGCAGTTCAGGCTGACCTTAAACTCACTTTATAGCCTAGGCTGGCCTTAAACTCACAGTGATCCTCATATCTTGGCTTCCCCACTGCTGGCATTACAGGTGTGTCCCACCACACCCATCCAGGTCTGTTTTATGGTAAGTTCGTTTTTCAGGAAAAAAAAAAAATGTAGGTGTGTAATCATTTTGTGGGATGGAGGATGGCTTTATAGTACCGAACGTTGGTCAGACCTTAACAGAAAGTTTGTTGTCTGCTCTGAATACAGTAGGTACCTAGAAACAAATGTAGGTACAGTATGTTTGGTAAAAACAACCCCACTCAAGTTAGTGGAATCAGCAACTAATAATGACAGTGCAGGTTTTGAAAGTGATCCAATACTTGTGCTTGTCAGATATATAAACAGGTTCACTTACATGCATTTGGTAGTCTTGCAGGGGGGCACAGGAACCCAATGTTTTGGCCAGGGTTTGCCAGATCAGTCTTTGGAAGACTCAAAAGACATGCTTGAGTATCTTTTTTTTTTTTTTTTTTTTTTCAGTTGACTGACAAAAGTGGAACCATTAGGGTTTACATTAAAATATCATTATTGTATTTCCATGTGCTCACAGGGTGCCTCCTTCCCAGGATAGCCACTCAGCTATGTTGGAAGGACTCTTGTTCACCCAGCTTTGGTAAAGAGATATTACCTGTTTGAAAACAAGAAAGCATGGTATGACTGAGCTGGTCACTTGATAGAAAACAAAAAGAAATATAGTTAATCTATTTTCTAATATGTAGATAGGATTGGAGGGAAAGACAATACTATTTGGGAGATAGTATAATACATGATCAACATGTATGTCTAGCTAAAGTAGTGGTAACGTTGGGCTCCAAGATGGTGGGATTACAAAATCAGGCATGTAGAGTTTAGCTTTGGTTTGCTGCATGCCTTCACATCCTTCAGCAAGAGCAGTGGTGGCAAACCTACAGCATGGGCACCACAGTGGGTTGTTTGTATTATTGAAATCTCTAAAGGGTTTGCCACCTCACTAAACAAGAGCTTTTCTTTAACTGGTTAGTCCTGATGAGTTCCTAGAAGAGCTAACTCCTGGGTTGGTGTTTTATTATGGAGACTGCTCTTGACTTGGAAGCTGGCACTTGGAAGTAGTCTACTGAGTGCTTAGGTTTGTCTCATTCCTAAATGTCTAGGGATGCTGTCACAATAGCACATGCCTAATCCCAGCACTCAGGAAGCTGAGGCAGAAAATTCTCAGGTCTGGGCTACATAATGAATTCAAAGCTCGTCTGATCTACATAGTGAAATCACCACCACCCACCCCCATTCCAAAAGATATTAAGATTAAGACAAAACAAAAACCCACCTAATGCCCAGGGAGTGAACAGCACTGACTAATCTCACCCATCTGCACAGGAGATAAAAACCATCTGTCTACCCAAGGTTCTGGATTTTACCAGTGGGCCAGAGTAGGTTTTTTTGTTTTTATTTTTAATTAGGGATAGTATTAATTAGAGATTGAACCCAGGGCCTTTGCAGTGAGATATGCCCAGATCCCTTTTAAATTTTTTAAAACTTAAGACAGGGTCTAGCTAAGGTGCCAAGAATGCGCATGAAGATCTTCCTGCTTCAGCCTCTCAGAGTGATGGAATTCTAGATGTGTGCCACTATGTCCCACTTCAAGAGTTCTTGTGATGCTTTAAAAATTTTACAGTGAAGGCGTCGGGGAGATGGCTCAGTGGAATAAGCTCTTGCCTGGCAAGTGCAGGGGCCTGAATTCAAAACCCAGTTCTGCCAAAAAAATTTTTTTTTTTTTACAGTGAAGTTAAAGATAGGAGTGTCCATACCAAGTACTACACCAAAGTCTCTGGTTTTATTTGGTTTGTCAGTTTGTGTCCCCAGCCCTACCCAATAAGAATTGACCCCAGAGCCTTTGCATTGAGCTACCTCCCCAGCACTCCCTTTACAAAAAAAAAAGTTAGGACAGCTTCCTATTACGTTGACTAGGGTGGGCTCTAACTAGGTAATCTTCCTGCCTCAGTTCCTGAGGTTGCTAGAAACCAGGTATGTTCTCATTTGGCTTATATATGTTGTTTGTCTTAAGTTTATCTTGGGGCTGGGGATATAACTTAGTGGCATAAATACTTGCCTTGCAAGCACAAGATCAATCCCTGGTACCAAAAAAAAAAAAAAATCACTTAAAAAATTTTGTCATTTTTTTGGTCTGTTTTGAACAGGATTTTACTGTGCAGTTCATGCTAGCTTAACTCACTTTGTAGCCCAGGCTGGCCTTCAACTCTCTGTGATCCTTCTCCCTCAGCCTTCCAAGTTCTGGGACTACAGGCATGGCCTTGGTTTTTTTAAAATATGAATTGGTGCCCAACACTTAACACTGAGAAATAGCATACAAAGTGTCAAGTGTCTAGACTCTAATGCCAGCTTTTTTTTTTTGTCTGAGGATCCTGCTATGTGGTTTAGGTTGGCCTTGAACTTACTATGTAGTCCAGGCTGCTCTTGAATTCACAGGGATACTTGTGCCTCAGCCTTCTGAGCTGGGATTGCAGGTGTGCATTATCATACCCAGCTCTAATGTCATCTTACTTATTTTTGTACCACAAATCAAACTTAGGACGTTGTGCCTGCCAGACAGGTATTTGTATCACTGTATATCCTTGCAGTCTAATGCTGTGTTTTTTAATTTTTTCATTAAAAATTATTTGGTACAGGATTTCACTATGTAGCTTGGAGTCATAGTGATCCTCCTGTCTCAGCCTCCCCAGCACTGGGATTTCAGGTGTGCACCACCACACCCAGCTTCAGTGCCTGGCTGGCATGGTGCGCTCAGAGGCCCAGATGGCATGCAGAACTGGGGATTCAACTCAGGTCCTTGTACTTGCCAGGCAGACACTTGGACTGCCGAGCTACCTCACCAGCTCCTAAAGCTGTCTTAATGCCACGATCTGTGCATTTTCTCTTTTTCAAGCTTCCTGCATAGCATATTTGTCCTCATAGTTCCTACTTCATTCCTTAGGTTGCCTTGTGAATATCTGAACTATTCTATTAAAACCATTCTGGGCAACACATACCTGGGGGAGCCACGAAATACTCCTCCACAACTTGACGGGAGTTTTGTAGTAGTTCTTCAGCACAGTTGCCTTCTGCTACATTGTCAGATCTCAAGTATAGACATCTACAAAACCCAGAAGTTCAATGTTACCTTCTCAGAGAAAAGAGCTTCTAGGGCCTGGTAGGGGAGGGCGCAGCATAGTCCTGAGTTGTGGTCGTAGCTCCAAGACAGGAGCAATGGCCAAGAGTAGACCAAATAACTGCCTATAGGTTGTAGTCTTCTGACAACTGAGGTAAGTGGTAATTTCTCAGGATTGACATAAATAACATATTTGGATGACAGTAGGAACAGGTTACATCTGGGTGGAGGTATGAAAAGGTAATTACCATACAGTTACGGTTTTTTTTCTGTTTGAGATGGTTTCACCATGCAGTTCAGGTTGGCCTTGAGCTCACTTTGTAGCCCAGGCTGGTCTCCAACTCACAACAATCCTTGCACCTCAGCCACTTGAGTGCTGGGATTACAGGGGTGCACCACCACACCCAGCCAGTTGTTAAATTTTAACAGAAGTAAGCACAACCTGCCAAGGCACTAGCCTAGCCTGAGTGAGAAGCATGAACTAAAAATAGGCGATGTCATTGTGAAAGTGCAAGAAATAGCTGGGCAGTGGACAGGAAATAAGACTTCCAGGAAGAAGCAGCAGTATGGATGTGAAGACGAAAGTTGAGCAGGTTTAGAGAAAAAAAAACAGGGAATGCAGATGGCTGCAGCATGGCCTGTTAGACAGAAGGCAGAGCTTGAGATCTAAGCAGAGGGGAGATGGCTCAGTGGAATAAACGCTTCCCTGGCAAGAGCAAGGGCCTGAGTTCAATTCCCAGTTCCGGGGGGGGGGGGGAGATCTAAGCAAAGAGGGAGGAGGAGTGGGAGGAGGAGGGTTGCTCAAGAGTGACTTGCCTAAGGATGTTGACTAAGTAGCTGTACTGTGACCTGAGCCCTTTCTGGTGCCTCTACGATGAATGCTGGTTTCACCACAGCCAGTTAGGTGGATCTTATAAGTGCTTGTTGTTGAGCAACATCTATCACAAACGGCTCAATCTCCAGCTGTTACCTGGGTCTAGTGACTTCAACAAAGTGTCAAGATAGCAAATAGGAACTTGGCACGTGGACATGAAACCTCACCCTTGTTTCAAAATAGAAAAGTGCCTGAACAGATGTGAGCCTGTTTCACAGAGTTGAACTTTAAAAAATGAGTAAAGAGCAATCAAGCTTTCTACTCTTGAGTGGGGCACAGACTAAAGCTAATTCTAGTGGGGTTGAGTCATGTTAAACATGGAGGAATGCGACAGGAACACCTGCATAAAGGCTATCTACTAGGGGCTACACTGTTAGCATAAGACTCTTGGGAAAAGAAAAGGAATCCTGGATCCCGGCCCAGAGCTAAGCGTAATAAATTGTGATAAAAGAACAGAGAACCAGAATCTATTCCAGGATCTCCCAGTCTTAACTGACTTAATAATCTTTCCAGACTTATCAAAAAGAGTTGCCCTTTGGGTGTTTATAACCAAGACATAGATATTTAATACAGGTGTGGTGGCACATGACTGCAATCCCAGCACTTGGGAGGCTGATGCAGGGATCCCAGGAGGCTAAAGCCAGCCTGTCAAAAAAACCAAAAAACACTATTCACTTAAGATAGCTTGGAAGGCAAAAAATAAAAATTTATCTGTAATTGTACCATTCAAAGATGATCCACAGACTTCTAGACTTTCTGCTGGACAGTGCAACAAAATGGCTAAAAGCTTAGACTTCCAAGTTAAAGCTAAAATGATTTTACAGTGTCAGTTACATATCCTTCATGTTTTAGTTTCCATACTTAGAGAATGATTAATTGGATTACTAAGATCAAATGTAACATTAAAAAATAAGATTTGAAAGGGCCAGTGAAATAACTCAGTGGATTAAAACGCTTGCAAGCAGGGGCTGAGTTCGATCCTGGGCCTTCTGTGCCGGCCCCACCCCTGGGGCGTGCTGAGACAGCAATTGAGATGGTGTGGTGTCTTGAGATTAGGGCACTTGTAATCCCAGCACTTGGGAGGCTGTGAACAGGTGGATCACTATGAGTCGAATCTAGTAGTGAGACCCTGAACACCCTGTATACCCTTCCCTAAAATACAAAAAAAAAAAGTGGGCCTGCATTTCTAAGAAGTGTGTTCAGTAATGCATGATTTTTTCTGAGTGCCTCAATACATCATTCACAGTATGTACATTTTGTCTGTTTGGTGAGATGCCCTCACTATGTAGTAGTTGGGGCACTATAGTCTGAGCTGCTCTCAAACTGGCAGTCCTGTCTCAGCCTCCACTTGCTGCAGCAATAGGTGTGTGCCACTACACGTTGTCCGACAGATTTCAATAACTTTTTTTTTTCTCATTTGGTATCCAGGTTTCCTATGACATTTCTAGAAGAGATTATTCCTTTAGATAAACACATATCCACTTAATTCCACTTTATAGTGGATTTACTCCTAGAAGGTCTCTATCTCCCTATTTTTTTTTTTTTTTTTTGGCGGGGGGAGAGTCTCACTGTGGTGTCCTCTTGGCCTTCAACTTATTATCTACCTGTTGGCCTCCCAAGTAACTGGGATTTTATGCCACCATTTCTGGCCTTACTTTCTTCATCACAGACTGTGAAACCTACAAAAAGACCTTTCGGTTAGCAAGTTGCTTAATTTTCCTTAGACTCATTTATACAACGTCAGAGGGTATTACAAGCTCTTTCAGTCAATTTTTTCTTATGGGTGTGTGTGCGTGTGTATGGATATGTGTGGTACTAGGGATTGAAACCAGGGTCTTCACACTGAACTGCATCCCCACTTCCACCCCTTATGAAACAGAATCTTGCCGTATTGCCCAGGCTGGGCCCAAACCTGGAATTCTTAGCTTTCCAGAGGGCATGGCTTACAAGATGCATCACATGCGTGGCAGAAAATACTGCTTATTAAAGGGCTGGTGAGATGGCTCAGTGGTCTAAAGCACCTACTTAGGACAAGCTTAGCAAAGCACAGGGACTGCGGTTCAATCCCCCAGCACCACATGCCAGCCAGCCCCGCTCCCTGGTGTGCTGAGCTGGCCACACACACAAATTTTTATTAAAAAGGCCAGCGAGATAACTGGGGGCCGGTGAGATAGCTCCGCGGACTAAAGCACCTGCTTAGGCAAACGCAATCTCTGGCACCAATTGCTATGCCTGGCCTGCCCCCAGGGTGGGCTGAGCTAGCCACAGTCCAGGCATAGTGGCACACACTTAGAATCCCAGCCCTGGGGAGGCTGAAAGCAAGAGGATCATCACAAATCTGAGCAATAGTGAGACCGTGTAACAAATAGATGAAAAAGTAAAATAGAAAGCATGAAGTGGCTGTGGCAGCATAGGGAAATGTATGCCGTGTCCTTGGTCTGGCTGACAGTTTGGCCACTGCCTTTCTGCTTGTTTCCTGGTATTCAGATGAGAGTAATAGTTTCTCTGGTGCCACTTTCATGTGCAAGCCTCTTCTCTCCTAATTTAGTTGGATGCAGACTGGGCGTGATGTTACACACCTATGATCCCAGCAACCTGGAAGGTTGAGGCAGGCAAATCCCAAGAGTTTGAATGCAGCCTGAATAAGTGCTTTAGTGAGATCCTGCCTCCAAAAACAGATGTATGTGTAGGTGCTGCTAGGAGTACAAAGGCCATGGATGGGTCCTAGGATTGCCCCCCACAAAAAAGTGGTATGGCAGAGGCTCTGAGGAACACAGTAAACATCCAGCACCAAAGTTTTTGGCTGCAGTCAGATGTTCTTCCCCTGATGCTCTTCCCAGTGGACTTCAGCTGCCATACCTAGAGTGGTGTTTGCAAACAGTCTGAGTTCCAAATCTTTTTGGGGGCCTAGAGATTGAAATCCGAGCCTTTGCACTGAACTATATCCCAGATTGCTGGGATGAAGGTGAGCACCAACACTCCAAACCAGTTCCATTCTAGGGCTGGCGAGATAGCTCAGCAGACTAAGCACCTGCTTAGGGAAGTACTGCTTAGGGACCAGGGACGTTCCATCCCCAGCACCACATATCACTGGTCTGGCCACACACCTGCCCTCAGCAATACACTGAGCCAGCCACCAACATCGGGCACAGTGGCTCATGCCTGTAATCCAGCACTGGGGAGGCTGAAAATAGGATCACTACGAGTCCAGGCTGTATAGTGAAACCCTGTACTAAACACATTAAAAAAAAAAAAGTTCCATTCTTTCCCCCTCCTTACCCCTCCCTTCTGTGTTCTTTCTGTCTTAAGTATAATTTCTGCGGATGGAACCCAACACCTTCACATGGAGTTACATTCCAGCCACCCCTTTTCATAAGAACTTTTTGATGGTGGTGGTGGTGGTGGTGGTGGTGGTGGTGGTGGTACTAGGAATTGAACTCGGGGACACTACCACTGACTTGTATCCCCAGCCCTTTTTGTTTTTTTATTTTGGGACAGGGTCTCGATAAATTGCTAAGAATGGCCAGGTACAGTGCTACACAGCTATAATTCCAGCACTTGGAGGGCTGAAGCAGGAAGATCTTTGCAAACTCAAGGCCATCTTGAGCTACATAGTTAAGGTTAGCCTGAACTATATAGTGAGACTATCTCAAAACAGGGCTGGGGAGATGGCTCAGTGGAATAAGCGCTTCCCTTGCAAGCACAAGGCCTGAGTTCAAGCCCCAGTTCCACCAAAAACAAACAGGAGGAAAAAAAAAAACCAAAACACCCCAACCTATAAGATTTCAAACTACTTCAAACAAAACAACAACCAAATGAACGAATGAATGAACATATTTGGGTATGTTGCCCAGGCTGGGCTCAGACTTGTGCTCTTCCTCTGGCTTCCCAAACTGCTAAAGTTATAGTTGTGTGCTATGATGCCTGGCTAAACTATAACTTACTTGCCTTCCATAGCTGTAGTTTGTAATAGATAATGCACATAAATTCTTAGTTCCTGACACACAACCACACCAATGCTTCTAGCTCGGATTAAATGATTTAAATGTTATTAATGTGCAGACAGAGTCCTACCAACTACTCAGGGCTAACCACCAAGTTCCATGGCATGTGTTATGTAGAAAAGGGCATAATATTAGGTAATATGTCAACAGATGGATGAACAGCTCTGCTGAATATTGTGAGCATACCACAGGTACCAAAAGAGAACCTCACTCGGCATAAAAGAATGAAGTTGGGCTTGATTTTACTGGCCTGTAATACCAGCACTCTAAGAGGCTAAGGCTGGAGATAATTTTTAATTTTTTTTTTATTTTTAAATTTTATAGGGGCCGGGAGATGGCTCAGTAGAATAAGCGCTTGCCTGGCAAGTGCAAGGGTCTGAGTTAAATCCCCGGTTCTGGAAAAAAAAAAAAAAAAATTATGTATTTGGTACAGGATCTCATTCTACAGCTTGGACTCATGGTAATCCACCTGTTTTCAGCCTCCCCAGTGCTGGGATTACAGGCGTGCACCAGTACGCCAAGACTCAGTTGCCCGGCTCAGCACGGCAGAGCCCTGCTGCATGTGGTACCAGGAATCAAACCCTGGTGCCTGTGCTTGCCTAAACAGGTGCTTAGTCCATTGAGCTGCCTCACCGGCACTTTTTTTTTTTCTCTAGGGGTTGGGGAGATAGCTCAGTAGGATAAGTGTTTTCCTGGCAAGCACAAGGGCCTGAGTTCAATCCCTAGTTCCACAAAAATAAATAAATAAATCTAAGGCTGGAGATCAGCTCAACCCCGGCCTGCGAAATTTAGTGATTTACCAAGACCCTATCTCAAAACATTAAAAAGGTCTAGGAAAGTAGCTCAGTGATACAGCCCTTCCCTAGGATGCAGGAAGCCAGGAGTTTATTCTCTAGTGCTGTGTAGAGACAAACAGAATGATGATTTCTTGAGAAGGTGGCATTTGATACCTGAAGAAGAAACTAAGAATGAGGACATTCAACTTGGTAGAATGAGTTGAGGACAAAGACTGAGAATTGTCACCACCACCGTGCCACTCCACTGGGATTGAACCTGGGGTTTTCTGCAGCTAGGCAAGTGCTTTATCCCTGAGATACATCTTGCCCATTAAAAAAAAAAAAAAAAAAAAATTGAGCCTTTGATTCTTGGGAGACCAGTAAGCCTTGTTTCAGACAGGCCTCACTGTGTAGTGCAGGCTGCCCTCATCTGTGATTCTGGTCTCAATCTCCCAAGTAGAAAGGATTACAGGGCCTGGAGCGATAGCTCAGTGGATTAAGTGCTTGCCTGACAAGTACAAAGTCCTGAGTTTAATCCCTGGGACCACCACCACCACCACCAACAACAACAACAAAAAAAAGGGGGGGGGATTACAGATGTATGCCACTGTGCCTGGAAAATCCTGGGAATTTGTTTTGTATGTTTAAGACAGGGTCTTGCTAGAGAGAGCAGGGTGGCCTTGAATTCATGTAGGTTCCTCAGTCTGGTCTCAAATTTGTAGCAGTTCTCCTGCATCAGCCTCCCAGAGTGCAGAGATTACAGGTATGTGCCACCCCACAAGGTAAATCCTAGGAATTTTAAGAAAAGAGCATAGAGACCTGGGCAGGTGCTAGGTTAGATCATGTCCTGCAGGCTGTGGTGAAGCTTTTACTTTTACTAAAATGCAGTGGTTGAAGGAGTTGGGTAGGAAGATGGCAACAGATTTCTGTTTTGAAGTGCTGCATAACTCCATGTAAATGGTTAATGTCTCTTGAGGATCAGGCTGCAAAGTAAAGATTTGAAGGAATCAAAGGCTGGATAGAGAAAAGAATAGTTTGAAGTGGGTTAAATTTCTAGGGTGTTTGCCAGGCATGGTGGTGCACACCTGTAATCCCAGCACTTGGGAGGCTGAGGCAGTATATTGTCGTGAGTTCAAGACCAGTCTGAACTACATAGCAAGACCCTGTCTCAAAAAAAAAAAAAAAAAAAAAAAAGCCGGGGAGGATGCAAGCAGGCGCAGATCCCAGGGGTTGGATCCCCAGGCCTGCTATGCCAGCCCCACCCCTGGGGCACGCGGAGACAGCAATTGAGACTGGGCGTGGTGGCTTGTGCCTGTAATCTCAGCTGAAAATAGGAGAATCACTACGAGTCTGATCTAGTAGTGAGACCCTGAAAACCCTGTAGACCCTTCCCTAAAATACAAAATAAATTTTTAAAAAATTAAAAGGGGGTGTTAAAAGACTTAAATTTCATAAGATTATGGTTACAGATCTTGCTCTCCATTGTTACTAATGTAAAATCTTTATAGTTAGAAGATATTTTAAAAATTACCTTCATGGAGAGCTAGGATAGGTAGTTCTTGGTTGTTCCTACTTTTGAATTAAATATCTAGTGATCTTTCTAAGAAGGCAGCTCTAGGAGCAAACATCTGCTGGCAGGAAGAGTTTCAAAGAAAAGAGAATTTTCTTCAAAATGTATTAAGATTTGGAAACAACCAGTAAAGGATTTTTCTGAGAGACCTGTGAGCCTTGAACTCAGGGCTTCTTGCAGCCAGACAAAGAAGTTGAGTTTGCCAGTGACCTACTCTTCTCTATTCTGCTACACTACATTATATTACCTATTTACTCTGTCCCATTAAGGCATCTGTGTTTGGGACCCATGGTCAAAGCTTCCAACTGTATTCCTACTTTAAAACATCATTTGGTAAGTTTCTTATATACCCTTTGAGGAAACAATGTATACACCAGAACATATACAAAAGAGTGCACATAAAGTACTGATAATAGTATTCTGACATTGTTTTATATTAAATATATCTTGGAAACCTGATATTAAATAAATCTTGTCCATCTCACGATGTCTGTTACTTATGTACTAATAGGACAAATACAAGCAAGTTGTTTCATTATTTTTAGCAACTTCCAGATCTCCCATTGTATGATGATGTATTTGCCATTTAAGTTGTTTCTGAGTTTGGTTTTGTTAATGGGTACTATAAATAGTTGTCCAAAAAACATTTGTGCTGTCTTTCTTCCCTTCCCCCTTATGGCGTTGGAATTTGAACCCTGGGCTTTCCAAGTGCTCTGCCTCTGAGCTATACCGTCACCCGCTTGGGCATAGAGCTTGTACTTTCAGTTCTCACAGTAGGGAACCTCTGGGTCACAAAATTATACACATTTTAAAAACGCATATTTTGGGGCTGGTGAGATGGCTCAGTGGTCTAAAGCACCTACTTACAACAAACTTAAAGCACAGGGACCGCGGTTCAATTCCCCAGCACCACATGCCAGCCAGCTCCGCCCCCTTGTGGAATGAGCTGGCCACACACACACACACACACACACACACACAAATAAAAATTTAAAAAAACACGCATATTTTAAGTTTTGAAGCAGGAATAATGTCACTAAGCAAGTCAGAAAATAAAGCTCATATTGTAAAGTAACAAACATGTAGATAAAAACATCAGGAAGACAAGAGTTAGTGACTGGTCAACAGATACAGAGATCTGAGATTCGCATGCAAAGATGTAGGTAGAATGCCACAGCTGTTTGGAAGCAAACTGCCCAAAAAAACTGCTTGACCAGTGTGAAGATCCTAGCAAAGGACCGAACTTGGCTTGTTGAGCACTTAAGAAAGCCAGGATGGCGGAGGGTAGAGAGGACAACGGCACCGGTGTGCCAGCGTCGGTATTGCCTTCAAGGCAATGACTGATTAGCAAGCAGTTTGAAGTCTACCTACTTACACTGGGAGGACTCGAATATTCTAAGCGGGAGTGGCAGGATTCACAGAAACGTGATGAAGCCGCTTAACCGCGGGTGACTGCGCAAATGTCTAATCTTGCTAAGGCTCTTTTCGCTCTCAGATAGAGTAGTCTTCACTTTAAATGTTCGCAAAGGCACCACAGCCTGTGAAGGCTGCGCGGGCGGAGCGGCGAGGTTTACCTGTCCTCCAGTACGGACTCCATGGGCTCCACTCCGTCCGTGTCCACCTCACGCAGGCGGTCGGCGAAAGCGATAGCTTTTTCCAGCCGCGCCACAGCTTCACGGCTGCCGAAGTCCACAAGCGCTAGACGTTCCAAGTGCTCGATCACCTCGACAGTGATGCGACCACTTCCCTGGGGAAAAGCAGGGAGCATGGGTCACGGGCAACGTCCGCTGCGCCACCCACCTAGACACCGCCGGCCTCTACCTGAAGATTCACCTTGGTGGAGAAGGCTTGACGCCCGCCAAGCCCACTCCGAAAAGCCAGCCACAGCGCCCGCGCAGACATTTCGTCCTTTCTGGGCCCTCGTAGTGCGCCTACGCAACGCCAAGCGACGCGTTTAAGTGTGATGACATCATAGTGCGCCTCTATTGCTCAGCCTTCGCCATGAATAGCGTTGGAGAGGCTTGCACGGATATGAAGCGCGAGTACGATCAGTGCTTCAATCGCTGGTTTGCCGAGAAGTTTCTCAAGGGGGACGGCTCCGGGGACCCGTGTACTGATCTCTTCAAGCGCTACCAGCAGTGTGTTCAGGTGAGCCGCCACCCGAGTCCTCCCTTCTCTATCTTCAGGCCCTGCGTTCTCTTGTGGTCCCTGCCACAAGAATCACACCTGGCAGGGATTGTGACACGGAGGATGGAGAAAGTCGTTAACGCGGCCAGTGGCAGCAGCGCTCTCCCCTGCCCTCACCATTGTGGCCGCCTAGGTGTGTCTCCGATTGACCAGGTTTATTTGTTGAGACAAGGTTTCGCTATGTAGCCCAACTGGCCCTGAGCGCGAGGGCATCCTGCCTCCGTCTCCCGAGTAGCGAGATTGCATGAGTGGGCGATAACGCCGGGTTTCAGAACTTTACTCTTTAAGGAGCACAGTAGAAAACTTTTGGTTCACTTATTTGTTGGTCGTCCTAAACTGTCAAAAGCCGTAGTTACTAACACTTGGAAATAGGAAATGGTTTGTGCAAGTTCATTGGATCGGGTTTTCTTGTATCTCAGCGGGGCACTTTCCCTTATGTATTGCTGGTTACTTTCTTAGTGGAGAATCTCCCAGGTTTGTTTTTTTTGTTGTTGTTGTTTTGTTTTGTTTTGTTTTAAATCTTTGGTACAGGGTCTCGCTACACAGCTCGGGTTTTTTTTTTTTTTTTTGTTTGTTTGTTTGTTTGTTTTGTTTTGTTTTGGGAACTGGGGATTGCCAGGGAAGCGCTTATTTTACTGAGCCACCTCCATCTCCCCGGCCCCGCAAATGTCATTCTGATACCGGGAATGTACACTATCCTCACATAATTTCATGAGGTAGTTGCTATCTTTACCTACCCCATTTACAGATGGGGATAGAATTTATTTATTTATTTTTTTGGCAGAACCGGGGATTGAACTCAGGCCCTTGTGCTTGCCAGGGAAGTGCTTATTCTACTGAGCCATCTCCCCAGTCCACAGATGGGGATAGTGAGGCTGGCATAAGACCACATATCCAATAAGTCCTGGAATCCAAATTTGAACCCACATTTGTCACTAAAATAAAGTGGTAAAAAATAAAATAAAATAAAATAAAATAAATGCTCCATTTTCCGACTGTCACTTACATTTTGCGTAGTACTAGGCATTGAACCCACTGCCTTTGCACTAAGCTACATCTCTAGCTTCCCACACCCTTTTGCGCCCCCTCCCCCCCAACTGGGGATTGAACTCAGGCCCTTGTGCTTGCCAGGGAAGCACTTACTCTACTGAGCCATCTCCCCGGCCCTCCTTTCACTCTTTTGAGACAGGGTCTTGCTGTGTAGGTTAGGCTGGCCTTGACTTCAAGGTGATCCTCCTGAGTCTCCCCATGCTGGAATTACAGGCACGTGCCACCATGCCCTTTCTCTTTTTTGGAGACAGAGTTAAGGGCCAAGGGATATAGCTCAGTGGCACAGCACCTGCTTCGCAATCATGAGGTTTGATTCCTAGTACCAAAAAAAAAAAAAAAAAGTTTCCACATGTAGCTCAGGTTGGCCTTGAATTTACAGTGATTCAGTGATCTTCCTGTGCCACCATGCCTTGGCACCCGCAAGTGTTCTTAATGAATTTGCAAGTCATCCTTGTGCAGGGGCCATGCTAATTGTCTATCATTCCAATTTTAGTATGTGTGCTGCCAAGGCAAGCCCTTTTTTTTCTTTCTTTTTGAGACAGAGTCTTGTTATGCAGCTGAGGCTGGCCTTGAACTTTGTAGCCCAGACTGGTCTCAAACTGACAATGATCTTCCTGGCTCAGCTTCCAGAGTACTGGATTACAGGCATACACCACCACACCCAGCCCCTTTTTCTCTTTTAATATCAGGAATCAAATTCAGAACCTTGTTCTTGCCAGGCAAGCACTTGTTGCAATGGGCTATATTCCTGGCCCTCCTGCCACTCTTTAAAAACTTCAAAAAAATGGGGGCCGCGGAGATGGCTCAGTGGAATAAGCGCTTCCCTGGCAAGTGGAAGGGCCTGAGTCTAATCCCCAGTTCCACAAACAAACACTTCAAAACAAACAAAAGAAAAAAACAGTTTACGTGTCTAAATTGCCCAAGTTAAGCTTGACCTTGCTGTCCTCCTGCTTCAGCCTCCCAGAGAAGTGGTATTATGAGCTACCACCTAGGCAGATGTCATGACAAAATTTTAATGGTTCCCTTATATCTCTTCTTTCAATATTTTTTTTTTTTTTTCGGAACCAGGGATTGAGCTCAGGCCCTTGGGATTGCCAGGCAAGCACTTATTCTACTAAGCCATCTCCCCAGCCCTTCTTCTTTCATTCTTTTATCTGGTCTTATCACTTTCTAATAATATTTCTGCTTATTAAAAAATGTCACTTTAGGGGCCGGGGAGATGGCTCAGTAGAATAAGCGCTTGCCTGACAAGTACAGGGTTTTGAGTTCAATTCCCAGTTCTAAAAAAAAAATGCCACTTTATACTGTAGTTCAATCTCATTTTACTTTTGTGCCATCACATTTTATGTTCTGTTGTTTTCTTTTCCCACCAGAAAGCAATAAAGGAGAAAGAGATTCCTATTGAAGGGCTGGAGTTCATGGGCCACAGCAAAGAAAAGCCCGAAAATTCTTCTTGACCTTAAAA